CTTGTTAATTTATCACTGCCATCATCACACAGGTCATTGTCATCTTTTAAAAATACAATGGCCTAAATATAGACACACAAACCAACTAGGGAAAAAAAAGGTGCAAAGAACCACATGAGGTTAGTAAATTTTAAAATATGACCCTTTCTTTGGGGTTTACAGACACCTTCACCTTCTAGTTTAATGGGCAGGTGCCATGGGGTAATGTTTTCATGGGCTTCATCACCGAGGGAACACCATCCAATTTTAGACATCTCAACGTCTCAGTCTATATCCAAGTAAAAGAACATGTGTGTGTATAAAACAGAGTCAGAACCTTCTCTTGTCTTCCTCCTATCAAATGTCAACCTTGAAGTTCAAATTTTATTCTGAGGATTAGTTTTATATCCAGGCGATAGACTATATCTTTTAAGAAATAACATGTCTACCCTTAGGGCTATAATTCTAGCTTACAGGCCTTGACAAACAAACTACTTCTTAATACAACTCAACTGTCATATGATAGAAACACCCATAAATGAGTGTGTATATTTGTGGGTGGCGTGAGGAGGTATTTTGTAAAGTAAGATACGATTCAATTTAGAATTGGTGCTGATGACAATGCTATGCTGATAAAATGTCTCTAATATGCTTTGATGTTTCTTGTCTAGATTAATTTTAGGCTCAATATTTGCTATATAAAATAAAAAATCTTAATTTTAAATCTAAAAATTTTGTTTGGAATTTCAAGTAGTAAAAATGATTAGGTACCCCTTCCAACACTATTCTCCCTTCCTCAGAGGACTCCTTAATAAACATCCTGCAAAACTGAAAAAAAAAAAAAAGACTAGGTACTACTGCCAACATTTCAAAAAACATTCCCCATGATTAGCTCATCAGACAGTGGTACTGTTAGAGTCAGTCTACTGCCTCTGTCAGATTTGGGCTCTCTCAGTAGAAAGTTTAGAATCGTAGAAAAGTTTTACTGTAATTATGCTCCAGTTTCAGACTGGTCTCAAAGGCCATCTCTAGGGAAACTCAGGCGCTTTAAAACACACACACACACACACACACACACTCTCTCTCTCTCTCTCTCTCTCTCTCTCTCTCTCTCTCTCTCTCTAATATACCCTTCTTAAGAGTGGAGCCCTTTCCAGGTCTTTGAGTAGGGTCCTGGTTTCTCTCCAAATGACTGAGTCTATACCAATTATTATTCTGGTTAAAAAGTATCATAGGGTGTCACACATCTGAAAAGCCCCATTACAGATGAAGCATGTGCTCAAAGAGAGCATGGTAGGTATGGGGAATTGTTAAGCAGTTTAATATTAGGCTGCTAGGGGGGTTGGGAGTGTGAGTGGGAGTGACATGGAAGAATCTTAAATGCATATTGCTAAGTCAAAGAAGTCAATCTGAAAAGGCTACATACTGTATGATTCCAACTACATGACATTTGGAAAAGGCAAAATTATAGAGACAATAAGTACACCAGTGGTTGCCAGAGGTTCAAAGGCAGAGAAGGAGGAATGAATAGATGGAACACAGGGGACTGCTAGGCAGTACAGCTATTTTACATGATGCTGTAATGCTAGTTACATGTCATTATACATATGTAAAAACCTACAGAATGTACACCACAGAGAGTGAAACCTAATGTCAATATGCACTTTAGTTAATAAAATATCAATATTGGCTCATTAGTTGTAACTTCCGTATGACACTAATACAAGATGCTAATAACGCGAAACTAGGGGAAGGCACTGGGAATGTGTATCTCTGCACCTTCTGTTCAATTTTTCTGTAAACCTAAGACTATTCTTCAAAATGAAGTCTATCAATTAATAAAAATGAGATGTTCTGTGGTATTTTTCTATGGCCGCAATGTCAAAACTGCTTCAGAAAATTTTGAGAGTATGTCTGTTACAAGACAATGTACAGGCTCATGTTTTTTAAAAAGATAAAGCAAAGTAAAGCACACATACTTTAAGTGTACAGGTTGATACATTTTTACTTATGTATTTGCCATGGAACCACCACCTAGATGAAGATACAGAGGGTTTCCACACCCCAGGAAGCTATCCTTGTGCCCTCTCTCCTACCAGTAACGACCTTGCATTCCCTCAAAAGTATTCTAATATGCATCACCACAGAATATATTTTTTTCTGCCTGTACTTGGACTTAACAGGACAAAGAACAATTTGGTATGTATTCATTTCTGTCTCCTGTTATTCAGCATTACGTCTGTGAGATTCACCCACATTGACATGTATAGCAGTAGTTCACTCTTTTTCTGTGTGGTGCAATATTCCATTATGTGAATATATCATAATTTATCCATTCTACTGTTAATGGCCCTTTGGGTTGTCTCCAGCCTATTACATATAATGTTGCTTGCTATTCTTAAGTATGTTTTTTTTGTGTGAATATCAGCACTCATTTCTCTTGAGTAAATACCTAGAAGTGTCATTGCTGGGTCATAGAGAATATGGCTGTTAAGCTCTAACAGATATTGCCAAACTACTTTTCAAAGTGCTGTACCATAAATTCCTTAATTTTTGCAAGAGAAATTTTGCCTTACCTTCTTTCAGGTTCTTATTAGACAATACAACACTGACTTTTCAGCTATCCAATCATGTTAGCGAAATGTGGAATAGTACAGTGGTGGTGGGAGTGTAAATTGGTAAAAGTACTTTCGAAAATGGATGGGGGTTATTTACTGAAGTTGAATATCTACATACCCTATACCTAGAATAACCATACATTACAGTTTTCTTGGGACAAATAAGATTGTTGTCACAGTGTTATTTATTTATTTTTTTATTCAGTGTATTTTTAATAATACCATATTTTCATTCTCAAAAGTGTCCTGGTATGAACAATAAATTATAACAGTCACCCAGCAATCCCATTGCTAAGTATATGAACAACAGAAATAAGTACAACGCATTAAAAAATTTGTATTTAAAAAAAAATTTTTTTTTTTTTAGCTAAGACATCCTGCCACCTTTTAGCAGCTCAGCGGCAGCTCAGCTCGGGCCGGGCATCAAACCGCTGTTGCTCAGAGCTCAAACTCTTGAGCGAGCTCTTAACCAACTGAGCCGCTCGGCCGGCCCTACAATTTATAACTTTTTAAAATACATTTTTTATAAAACAGGATTTATAGCAATTTTATTCATAATAATCTCAAATGGAAATAACCCAAATATTTATAAACAGTAGAATGAATAATTAAATTATGGTATATTCATGCAATGAGATACAGTGACAAAAATGAATGACTGTCTAGATTACTGCTACATGGAACAACATGGACAAATCTCTGAGTGTTTAGCAAAGAAAGCCAAACACAAAATAATCATTCTGTATGATTTCATTAGTGTAAAGTTAAAAACCAGGCAGACCTAATTCGTGATGTTAGAATTTGGGACAGTGATGAGATGACAGCAGATAGTAAGTGGGAGGAAGGATGAAGAGACTTCTGAAAAGCTGGCAATGTTCTAGTTCTTGACCTGGGTGGTAGCTAAATAGACACGTTCATTTTTGTGATAATTAATCAAGTTGGACACTATTTGTGAATTTTTTTGCATATAATTTATACTTAAATAAATAAAAACATCTATTAAATAAATAGCCTAAGAAATAATATCCATGGAAGTTTGTTCGAAAGATATGCAATTGCTATTCATTATTCCACTAGTATTTCTAAATTTTACTTTTGGATCTAACTAGGCAATCACTAAGTTATATGTTTGGACTCCACTGTTTTAGTCCATTATACAATTATTCTTACTCAGATGTTAGGCCATTAGCCTAACGCTTTCCTGTTCAGTACATTTTCCTGTCCCATATGTGGACCAATAAAATAAATTTATTTCAAAGTTAAGAAACAGGAAAAGAATAACTGGTTTGGTTTTTTTACTAGATGCCATGCATCTTCAACATATTATGCTCCCCGCTTTGTGCTGGCTACCAAATATGCGGCCCACTTTGATACTATATACATTTTTGTGTGATAATATTAACTCTGATTTTACTAGATTTTGCCTTAAAACTAAATCTTTGAACTATTAGATTGAACTGTATGATAGCGCCATTTTTGTAAGTGAAAGTATCAGTAATTTCATTTGGTTTAATTAACCTGATATTAAGTTATTTTTGCATTATATGCATTCATGCAAAGTCCCTCAAAATATGTGGGGAACAAGGCAGAGTATAAATGTAAAAATAAACTTCCTACTGTGCATACTGAGTTTCATAGTTTCAGTTATTTGTTTAGTTGTATTCCAAGAATAAAGTCATCAATAAAACCTCTCAACTGTGCTTCCAAATTTATTTGTAACTTGGCCATTTTGATAATAAAGTAATTACCAGAACAAAATCCTCAAATAATCCAGAACAAAATCCTCAATAATCCAATAATAACATAAAAAAAAAAATTAACACTGCTTCCTTTATTTTTAAAAGCATTTTTTATTTTCTGGTTTAATTTTCATATTAATAGTTTAAAATGTTAGCATTTTAATAACTTTTCAATAATTTTTATAACATTTTAATAAATCAACAGGCATAAATATCTTCATTAATACTTTAATATATTTTATTGACTGACACACATATATATATTTGAGTGTCTTATTGATAGATAAATTTTTTCCAAATTATATGATTTAACACTGGAATTAAAGATTTAAAATCAGCACTGTCTGGAAAAAACATGGAAGGACTGGTTGCTGTACATACATCCTACCTCTTCTGTTAGCCCCTGATGGTGGGGACTGTTTCTTAATCATTTTTGTATCCTAGAACTTAGCATTCTGACTTGACAAGAGTTAGAACATAAGAAATGTTGATAAACTACACTGAAAAGTTGGCAGGATTCTTGAAAAAAAGCCCTCAGGTATTGATGATCCCATCCTTGTAAATACTGAATGAGAATATTAATATGTAGCTAGATGGGAGCACTAATATATATATATATATATGTATATATATAAAAAGATCCAAATAGTGTGCTGTTTCTTACCTGATGTGGACTGCTTCATCATGTTATGCATTAAGAGACAGAGTAAAAAAAATAAAAACATGTAGAATGTGTTTAAACAATACTTAAGACATTCTGACGTACTCATTACAACTTAAAAAAGTTAACAAAATCATAACCTCTCACTATCAACAAAGAGATGAGATTTTAGGATTTCTCTGTACATATTAATCAATGCTGACTTAAGAAAGCAGTTAGTAATTAGAAAAGGAAAGTGATAAGCTAAGATATTATACAACTTTAAAGAATATAGCACAAAATGCAGTATAGTTAATAAGAAAACAGGAAACTGTCATGTTCTTAGTCTGATGAATGTAGGTTTTGACAGGAAACAGCAGTTTCTAACTGCATTATAGTAAAAATTCAAACACTAAAAAAAGAGCATTAAAAACTATTACAGCTATTTCACATAAAATTATCATTAAATTTTAAAGTAGGGAGAACCTGCAGGGATGAATATTCAAAAAGCCCAGAAGGACTTCATAATCATTAAGGATACATAGGTATTTAAAATTTTTTTGCTAGTTTAGCTAAACCACTAAAGATTAAGATAAAATTTTATTTTGTAAAACAGAGAAGTGTCATAGTTTTAGAGATTTATAGACTTTAAGTATAACTTCTTAATAAGTGATAGTGAAATCTATGCTAAGAAAAGCTGGTCACCTGAGCAGTGTCAGTGTGGACAGAGGACCCATGTCCCCTCTGTGTTTGCTTTCTTTCAGCACATGAGAGAATACTGGTAACTTAAAGTTAGGGTTGATTTTTACAGCTGGTTTTAGAGACACAACAAATTATTCTTCCTCAATTTTAACATGACGGGGTAACAGAATTAATAAACCCTTATATTCACATGATGCTTTACAGTTAAAAGTACTTCTATGCATATTATATCAAGTGAAAAATTTTTACCCCGTGTGTGACTGGAGGCTGAACTGTACAGGCAACTACCACTTTCTGAGATTCAAAAGAGTAAGAAGACTGCATTGAGTATTTTGAAAGACAATCAATCCACAACAAAGTGGAAAAAAATCATCTACACACCAAAAAAATCCCCTAACCAAATGAACTTTGATCACTACTAGACAGGGTTTAAACCATTGAAGTGAGTCATGTGATACCAAGTGAAGTGCAAAACAGTTGCAGTAAGTTTCCAAGACTGAGTCATATCAGATTATAAAAGCTCCTATTTGTACATGAAGGTTTGTATAATCAATCTGTAAAACATAGAGCTATATAGCTTTTAAAGCTAAATGTAACATTTCTGTAAGTGATGTATAACATACAAAAATGTAAATAACTATACATTATACTTTATTTGGGAAGATGGACATACAGTCTAATAATTGCGGAGATTTGTGTTTCTAAGTTCTAGAGGCCTTATCTCCCCCCACCCAGAGTTTATTCAGTAATTTTATTGGCTGCCTTACAGAATAGTTTTCTCAATTTTCAAACCTTAAAATAAATATAAATAGGAAACGATATGCTAAATTTATTCTCAATTAAAAGCTTCTTTAAAAACTGAATTGTGCATCTGACAAAGATTAAAACTAACAACAAGCACACAACTCAAAAGGTTTCCAGTGAATCAGAACAGGAAACCAATAAAAGTGATCAATTGGAGGTCATGACTTTTTGATCATTGCATTACATAGACAAGAGCCAAAATTCAGACCTACAGTACTTAGAAGATCATTTAAAAGTTCAAGAATTTTACTGAATAATATAAAATAGATAATGCTGAAAATGTTTCTGGCTTTAAGCTAAGTAAATCATTTTTTAAAAACCAGCGAAAACACTTAAAATTTTAAAAAATATAGATTCTATGTTAAATGTATAAAGTGCAATAGTTAAGTTAAAACTCACATTTTTAGAAGCAAAGAAAAAAATATGTACCCGTATTTATAAGTGAAAAAGAGGGAAAGGAAAGTTTGGACTTGAAAAAATATATGCTGTGCATTTGTTACCAATGAAGGAGCGAGGGGAAGAAATGAAAGTAATTCACAAAGAACTCTTAGTGTTTCTATAGTGAATACTTAGATTTATCCAGTACACTGGGTCAAACAAAATGAAACTGCCATTGTCCTCTTCCTGGCACCTGACACATCTTGATAAAATTGAAACCATTAACATTATTTAGAAGGTACTCTAATGTCAATCTTGATGAGGTTAGGAATATAAGAGGTTCTATGTAAATTTATGACCAATTACAGGAAATAAATCACTTCATACTTGTTTCACTCTGAACTTTTAACACTACATCAAAGTGTCACATACATTTCATTTGATTTAACCTTTAGCTGAGGCACTGAAAAAATTCAAACTTTCAGCAAAATATCCTTGTGAAAATGAAATACTTCTTTTCTATCTGGATTAACTTCTGTTAAGAGGAATTATTCCTCTCTAAAGCTAAAACATAGGTTTTATCAGTCCATCTAATCACTTAACCAAATTTTAAATCATTTACCTCATAAGAGACTTGTACCTAAAATACATAAAGAAAACTTACAACTCAATTATAAAAAGACAAATAACCCAATATTAAATGGGCAAAGGATTTGAATAGGTAATTCTCTAAGATTGTAAATGGCCCGGAAGCATGTTGAAAAGATGCCCAATATCATTAGCTATCAGGAGAATACAACTCAAAACCAAAATGAGATGACATTCACACTTACTAAGATGGCTACAATAAAAAAGAGAGATAATAACAAGTATTGACTAGGATGTGGAGAAATTGGAATCCTCATACACTGCTGGTAGGAATGTACAATGATACAGCTGCTTTGGAAAACAATATGGCAGTGCCTCAAATGGTTAAACACAGAGTTACCATATGACACAGCAATTCCACTACTAAGTATATATTCAAAGACAAATGAAAACATGTGCGTGCTCACAAAGAAAACTGTACACCAGTACTTGCAGCAGCATTATTTATAATAGCCAAAACATAGAAACAACTCAAAAGTCCGTCAACAGATGCACAGATAAATAAAATGTATTATAGTATATCCAATTGATGGGATATTATTAGGCAATAAAAAGGAATGAAGTACTGATACCCTCCTACATACTACAACATGGATGGACTTTGAAAACATTAGGCTAAGGAGAAGAAACCAATCACAGGTGATGACATATCGTGTAATTCCATTGAAATGAAATGCCTAAACTAGGGAAACCTATAGAAATAGAAAGTAGATTAGTTGTCCAGGGCTGGGGGGAAATGAGGAATGACTGCTAATGGAAATGGGATTAATTTGTAGTGATAACAACATTCAAAAATCGATTGTGATGATGGTTGCACAACTCTGTGAATATACTAAAAACCACTGAACTGTACACTTTAAATGGGTAAACTATGCTGTATGTGAACTCTCTCTCTCTCTCTCTGTACGTATATATATCAGATAGCTATTTTTGTGGGTATGTTTCCAGTGGAGATATTGTCAGTTTGAAAATAAATAATTTTTTATTTAGGACATGTAGAAAATTCAATTGAATTATTGGGTCGTCGGGAAAGTCATGACACATTTTTGCATTGAAAAATACGTCATGACTTTCCCGACGATCCTATAAAAAGAAAAACCCACCAACAATGTTAATTTTCAACATCTAGTTTTTCCCTCAACAGAAAAAGCAACAGTTGGCTACTGTCTACAGCTTCATCTTAAATAGGCAGAAAATATTTGCAATAAAAATTTTAATGCCTTAGATTGAAGTATTAAGTAAAATGAGATGAATGCATTTGTAGTATTCACTTTTTCAGACACTAAAACTAACTCCTGATGAAAAAATAATTGAAAAAATACATAACACGCACATACAACCACACACCCACACTATTTTGTCACTGAACACAAAATAAGCTTCCAAGCAGACAAGGTTAGTATCCGTCTCTTCCTCATTCTGAGTGTTCACAGGCTGCTAAGTTAAGATTGGGCACTTGCAAACCACATGACCTAATGAATACTATCTTATCATATCACAGGTTCCTCAGGCTGACCACAACAACTTAAATCAGACAGGCAGCAAAGTAACACTATGTCTTTGACACGTATTACTGATATGACATTTCAGCTGTCCAGCTTGTGGGGAGTAAATATGTGATTATCTTACGTCCAACTGCATTTGTGAGATATGGTCCATGAAAAGCACATGATTTACTGCACTCAAGACTTCCAACCACAGTGTAAAGTTTTTTGTATTTGTAAATCTGAGAGAGCTAGCTATTCATCTTTTATCAATTCTCCTTTAATTCACTTAGTAAATTTGTGGAACATATTTTCAAAGGTTCCTAGTTTGAATACTATGTTATTGTTTCTTTAAATAAAAACTAGTATTTAAAATTGAATTACTTGATAAAAAATAAGATTTTTCTAATGATCGAGTATATTTCAAAGTCCTGGCATAGTTGAAGAAACCGGACTTCTATACTTAAGAATATATAGCACTAAAAAACAAATGTGAAGTACTGGCTAGCTTGGTGGATAAATAGCAAACGAATATCTAAATTAAACTGAAAAGGTTCAGGGCCGGCCGAGTGGCGCGATGGTTAAGAACT